AATACCCCGTAAAATTATAAAGCAGGTAAGTGAATAAGTTTCTGTTGGCTTCATATATATATAATTATTAAAGACGAAAGATATATCATCTATCTAGAACACTTATTTTTGCTTTTAAACTTACCAGGTTAGGTTAGGTTAGGTTAGGTTTGGTTAGGTTAGGTTAGGTTAGGTTAGGTTAGGTTAGGTTAGGTTAGGTTAGGTTTGGTTAGGTTAGGTTAGGTTAGGTTAATATATATAAGTTATATTATATACCTCAATATTAAAAACGCCCTTGGTAAACTATTTTGTGATGGTAAATATAAAGAAAATGGTCAAATGTATCCGAAAAATTGTAAGATAAATCAGATGTGTGATAGAAGGTGTCGACACGTATATTGGGATTGAAAACGGGATGTCAGAGTGTGTGTGTGTGTGTGTGTGTGTGTGTGTGTGTGTGTGTGTGTGTGTGTGTGTGTGTGTGTTTTACCGAGGCAACATAGACCTCTGCACTTTGATCCGTAACAGAATTATTTATTACCTACATTGTTATAGTCCAGAGTCTCCTGTCAGCTGGAGGTGAGACAAGAATATATTTGTTTTTGTTTCTTGTGAGAGTAAGTGAACGGTTAAGGGGCGTGAGGTGTCCTGTACAACAACAACAACAACAACAACAACAACAACACCATCAACAACAACAACAACAACAACAACAACAACAACAACAACAACAACAACAGCAATAATAATAATAATAATAATAACAATAATAATAATAATAATAACACTCCTGAAAACACTTAAAATCATAACGCTGAATTAAGAAACCACAATAGAAAATTGGACATAAATAATATAAAGGTTACCCCTGAAACTAAGTCATATAAATATTAGTATAAGTATAGAATCTCTGGACAAATGAATATTATTATTATTATTATTATTATTATTTGTGACTATTCTGCTCGACCATCCGAATAGCTCTCTCTCATAATTATACCACACACGCTACACCTTAATCAAAGCCTCAATCTTACTAAAGTTAAACTCATTTATCGAGTCTTCAGTGACGTCATTCCTAAGTCAATTACCCTGAGAACTTACCTGATTGGCCTACGTGACCTTAGTTGGTGACGTCTAGGAAATCAATTGAAGCAAAACAAAACTTACCTGTAATAGCTCCACTTACCTGAGATTGTGTCCTGAAGAGAGTGAAGTCATTGAAGTCATTTTTTTGTTTTATTCCATTGAGCTGAAGTTTCTGTTGAAGTTACGATTTTTTGTTTCATTTTGCTGAAATTTTGTAGAAGTTACGGTTTTGTATTTTAGCTCACAAGTTGTTGTTGTTGTTGAGCTCCTGTATTTTTCATTAATCTGAGTTTTCTTTCGTGGATTCCGGATTTTTCGTCTACAAAGAATTTAAAGAACAAAATCACAACGAATGGAAGGAAATCAAACGTTTCTGTGTTAAAAATCTTGTAATCTAAACGTTTATAATATCTAGCAAAGCCATGCATAAAACTGCTGTCATTTTAATATTTAACATAAAACGAGAACCTGAAAATATGTGAGTTAAGATGTGAAAAATAGTGAGAATATTCCTGAACAATTGTGCCTCTCATTGACACTGTTCATAGATAATATATGAAACACTTGTATCTGTGAGGTAAGTCAAAATTGTTTTAGAAATGACTTATGAAACAAGACTCAGAATATCCACAAAGTAAGAATGAATAACTGGGCTATACTTTCCTCTTCCCTGCAGTCTCTCGTAGGATCACAAATCCTTTAACATTAATAAGGACTCTCGACCATCCTGACCCTCCTAGAAAGAAGATGAAGGCCAAAACGAGTATTTCATTACATATAATTGCTTCATGACTACAAAGTTAAATTGAATTCGGAATTGAGTTTTTGTGCCGCCAGAGAGGAGAGCATTTTGCCACCAACTCCCAAGTCGGGGTTCGGATACTGTATATTACCCGGACGATTATAATTGTGTACGTTTGTGTGTATTTTCCTCCTGAAGGTTATGTTAAATATAAGGGGATTGGCTAACTCGGAGGATTAGTTTGAGAGGAGAACGTTGATTGGTCGAGGATATGTTGATAATGTGTTCTGACTTGTGGTTGGTGGTGCAGGTATTATTATTATTATAACCTTGAAGCTCATTAACTCTTGCCATGGTGACCACATCTAGTGTAAACATGATGTTGTTTAGTAATGTGTTTAAGCCTCTAGAGCCGGAACTACCAGCACAAGGGTCATTAGTTAAGATTTTTAATAAGGTCAAATCAGGTCACGTTGAGTTAGAGTGAAATAAGGTGAATTGATTTCTCTTTTGCATTCCTTTGTTGGCAACGTATTTTCTCTCTCATTTATCTGGTCTGTTATTATCAATACATTACTTTATGTTCTCTTAAATTACATTGTTTGTTTTTTCTTGACATGAATAAAAAATAACTATATAGGAATTACGTAAAATAAATACATTTTATTGTTTTAAGCTCACGTGAATTACTTTAAACTTGCTTCAATTACAATAGTCTTTTATGTGGTCATGGCTCTATAGTTTCCGTCAAAGTTGAGTTTAGGAGTGTGTGTGTGTGTGTGTGTGTGTGTGTGTGTGTGTGTGTGTGTGTGTGTGTGTGTGTGTGTGTGTGTGTGTGTGTGTGTGTGTGTGTGTGTGTGTGTGTGTGTGTGTGTGGAATGGAAAACATTCAATATAGAAGCAACTACACACACTCTCTCTCTCTCTCGGTAAATGAATTCACAGTGAGGAAAACTCGGAATGTTTTATGAAAAAGTTGTTGGAAGCGAGAGTTTATGTGACCTTCACCCAACTGCTAGCTTTCTTTCTTACTTTCTGTCTTTCTTTCTTACTTTCTTCCTTTCTTTCGTTCTTTACTCTTTGCCTACCCTTTTTCCTCGCTCTCTACCATTTTTTATCTTTTTATACTCTTTCCTCTCATTCTATACTTTCTCTTCCCCTCTACTCCCTCTCTCTTTCTTTCATTTTCTATCCTCTCTTTTTCTCTTTCCTTTCTCCCCTCTCTCACCCCCCCCGCTTCCCTTCTCTCTTTCTCTGACTATAAATGAATCGAAACGACCGGAAATTTTCAAGGATTTTAGGGTAAGTTTCTTCCTCTCAGCTGGAGGTGATAGGGACACACACACACACACACACACACACACACACACACACACACACCTGCCTACCTACGCTAATTACATGTCACTCACCTTGATGTGTTCCATCCCGTCTCTTCTCCTGATTTTCATTTTCATGTTTATTTCTGCAATCACAATTCTGCCTCTTTTATTTTTATTTTTTGGATTTTATTTATTTTTTGAAATTTTTTTTGTTTACTTTTTTATTTTTTTATTATTTATTTTCTATTAATTATATGATTTTCTTGATTTTTTCCAGTTTTCTCTTTGTCTATGTTCATCTGGTATTTTTCTATCTTTCTTTATTCTTCTTCTTCTTTCCTCCTCCCGCCTTTTAGCCTACCTTTCTTATCTTTCTATTCCTCTTCCTCCTCCAATATATCCTGTTTATCTCTTTCACCCCCTCTTCCTCTCTCCTTCTCCATCTCATTTCCTCTTTCTTCTTGTCCTCCCACTCTTGTCCTCATTCTCTCATCATCCTTATCCTCTTCCTCCACTCCCTCTTCCTCCTCCGCATCATCTTTGTACCTTCATCTCCTGTGGCCAAATTGAAACTCGACCTACCAAGAAAAAATTAAAAACATTCCACCTTTAACATGATAAATAATTTACCCAAAATACCTCGACTCAATTTACTGAAAAATGGTCAATCAGGGAGATGATTTATTTATTTATTTATTTATTTATATATTTATTAATTTATTTATTTGTTTAATGGAAGGGCAATTGACTTTAATAGCTTTGTGTGGAATGGTTTTAGAAACATATTTCCCGTTTTCTGTCAATAAAAATCGGAAACTTTAATATTTTTTATTTTTTTTGGGGGGGTGGGGGGGTAGATAGGGGGTCAAGATGTATGAGTGAATGTTTGTCTGTTAGTTATTATTCATATAAATATTGTAGGAAGGGTTTGGTTTCATTATTGGAATATTATAGCACATTAGTAATGGATTCCCCGCCTCTCTCTCTCTAACTCGTAACTCGTGATAAAGTCTACGTATTCCGGACACATTATTTCACTATCTTTTACCCTTGATCTCTCTCTCTCTCTCTCTCTCTCTCTCATTCCCCATCTCTTTCTCCCTCTTCCACTGTTACCCTTCCTTCCTATCCTTACCAGCGTTCACAACATTTTCATCTCCTGACTTTAGTGGCACAAGTTATAGTCGATAAGTACCAGCGGGGCACAACGTACTACCCACTAAACTCTTCCTGTACACAAACTATGACCACAAGGAGGGACTTTATTGCCTAAGATACAGTCTCCAAACTTTATCGTGGCTCTTTGTATTGGTTCTCCATTGCCAAGTATAATGATTTTTATTTGTTGTCCTTGTCTGTTTGTTTCTCTTTGTTTTATTTTGTATTTTTTTGTGTTTGTTTGTTAGTCTGTCTGTGTCTTTCTTTGTTTGTGTTGCTGGTTTGATTTCCTTCTTCATTTGCATCCTACAACACAAAAGTTTCTTAATTGTCTCTTAAAACATTACGGGCATCTCTCAACACACTCTCTCACAGCTGTCAAGAATCACACGTGTTTATTACAGGTGCAGCCAAGGGGGACAAGTATACGGGTGCAATAAGATACACGTGTTTTCTTTAATTACTCACAGGTGTTAATAATTATACCTGTTGTTTTGCCGGTACAGCAGTGAAGGAGTATTATATGTTGCTTTTAAATCAAGTAGAGTTGCAGGTGCGATCTTTACACAGGTGTTTTAGCTCCCCACTTATTACAGGTGTTAATGAGGAGGAGAAGCAGGTGTTGTGGATACGTCAGTAGTTGTGTGTACAGGTGTTAACTTTTACCATTGACGCTTCGGTACTAAATATCACATCTTCTTCTGTTACAGGTGCAGCTGAGGAGGAGAAACAGGTGTTCCGAGTGCGCCCTGAGAATGTACAGGTGCGGATAGGAGATAACGTTTACCTGTGCTGTATCGTGGATCACCAGCAAGGCAAGGCGCAGTGGACTAAGGACGGCTTCGCTCTGGGTAAGTAACTGGGTCTATAGTTGTTTGTTGCCGAGGTTATGAAGAGAGCATTAAGACCTTTAAAGTGGGGTTTAAAGACCACAATGGGTGTTTTTAGTTGTTTTTAAATAACATGTTGACAGTTTTGGGGGTTGAGAGCTGGACTGAAACCCGTAGAAGCATTTTATTTATTTTGTTAAGAGATTTTTAATATTATAGGCATTGTGTTATTGTTTAAAGTACGTGTTGTATACATACCCAAGGCCATAATACTTTCCCCACACCACGGCGCATCTCCACCTGTGGATGTGAATGTTGAGATTGAAATTGAAATTGAAGCCAGAATATTACAGATACATAGAAATACAGCAATAACAACATGACACAAGGATTACAGCATCTTACACGGTATAGATAAATACATATTAACCTTGTATCACATTTGTTTTATTAATTTTGTTTTTTTTTCGATTTTTTTGGAGTCGTGTGTACCTTTACAAGTGGAAGATCTTACGTCATATGGGTAAAGGATTCCCAAAGCCGCTTAGGTTAGCTTGAGGTGTGTGAGGTCATTCGTCTCTCCTTAGTCATACACCTGTTGATTTTGCCTCTCAGGTATTATCGTTATGTTAGGGAATTACTGGGACGGGGGGGTATGGGTTTGTTTATTTTATATAGGTTAGTGAGAATCAGCTACACACATACATACATACACATACATACATACATACATACATACATACATACATACATACATACATACATACATACATACATACATACACAGTACAAGCTCAAATATCTATGATAACATGATGGTAATAAATAACCCCCCAAAAGAGATATTTTAGGTTTCACACGTGATGAAGATTAGAATAGGAAGTATAAGACGATAACAGAGATAAGAGAATAATCAAATGTAGATGTATGATAGAGACAAAAAAACTCTCTCTCTCTCGACCTCCATTGATTTCTCCTTTTCCTCTCTTCATCTACTGCTCTTCCTCTCTCTCTCGACCTCCATTGATTTCTCTCTCTCTCTCTTCTCTCTCTCTCTCTCTCTCTCTCTCTCTCTCCCTCCCTGTGGTAAACAAACACATTTAATACATCATAACATAATCAATATAGTCGTCAGAACCTCAGGCCATCGTCCCCCGAGACACTTGGATATACGAATCAGAGGTCAATACCGATTCAACTACCGTATGATGCTTTGATGTCCAACTGTAAGGATGAAATTATCGTCATTATTTTATCGAAGCTTTTGAATCCCACCTTAGAGTGTCGATCTACGGTTCATATTTTGTGGAATTGTTGTCGAATGCTGTTGGATTTTGTTTTAAAAGATACCGAATTGCTATTAAACGATCGAATTCCATTTATATGATGTCAAATTTTGGGTCATAAGCTGTTTATAAAAATGTCGACGATGAATTACTGTAAAAAGCTGTTGACTTTATGGTTAAAAGCTGTCAAAGGGCTAAAGTTTCGACCTGCCGAGTTGTAATATATGGCTGCCGAGTTGTAATATATGGCTGCCGAGTTGTAATATATGGCTGTCGAGTTGTAATATATAGCTGCCGAGTTGTAATATATGGCTGCCGAGTTGTAATGTATGGCTGCCGAGTTGTAATATATGGCTGCCGAGTTGTAATATATGGCTGCCGAGTTGTAATATATGGCTGCCGAGTTGTAATATATGGCTGCCGAGTTGTAATATATGGCTGCCGAGTTGTAATATATGGCTGCCGAGTTGTGATATATGGCTGCCGAGTTGCTCAGTTTATGTCTGTCTAGTTACAGATTAATGCTGTCGAATAAACGTTAACATCCTTAAATATGAGATTAAAAATGAAATTAAGGAGAAAAGAAAATAGTTAAAGAATGAAAGGAAAAGAAAACAAGATAAAATGAAGATAGTGAGAATGATAATAAAAACAAAACGAAATGACCCCCAAAAAAAATAGAAGGAAAAAAATAATAAAGCAGGAAATAAACAAAACAAAAATAAATAGAAAAAGTGACAAAATGAAGAATCACAAAATAGTGATAGAATATGGAAATGGAGTAGAGGCAATAATAGGGACATAGATGGATGGGAAATGGTAGATGGGACACGCAATCGACATGTGGTTGTGTTTCCATTGATGTGAGAGAGAGAGAGAGAGAGAGAGGAAAAAATGGGGGGAGGAGGAAAGAAAATCTATAAACAGAAAGCGAAGATTTAAGAGAGAGAGAGAGAGAGAGAGAGAGAGGGGAGAGAAAAAAAGAGAGAGAAAGATAGAGAGAGAAAGAGAGATGACAATGCCAATATCTACTAATTAATAAGAAAATCTGTCAATAATTAAAAAAAATATATACATATATGTTTTAGAGACATTGAACGATAAGTAATGATTAAAAGCCAACATAAGCGAAAGATGAATTGACCAGGGGATAAGGACCATAATAAAGCCTTAAGTGAAATCATCGATGGTAATTAGAACAGTAATTATCTCTTGTGGTGATCAAAGAACGTCATACATAGAGCTGCTGACGCCTCACCAACACCTAATGATGATAAATCGTTGAATGGACAAGAAGAAAAAATTTTATAACAAAATTCATAATTATCAGAAATGTAACAACGCATTTGGTGGTCTGATTCGAATCGTTCATGTAATTAAGGAAAAATACTGATAATAGCTTTTAATAATCAGGGTAAATACCTGTAATGGCTCTTTATACTTAAGGCGATATACTTATAATACCTTTAAGTAATTAAGGAAAAATACCTGAATTATTTTTGGTAATTAAGGGAAAAATACCTGGATTAGTTTTTGGTAATTAAGGGATAGTGTAAGTGTTTGTACCCAGGAAGACACACACACACACACACACACACACACACACACACACACACACACACACACACACACACACACACACACACACACACACACACACACTACAATTTGATAACATGTGAGCACAGGTTAATAAGCTTCACGGAGGCTAATTATTGCACTTCCTGATAATTCTTATTTGGTTTGAAAGGAAAAAACTGACATTAACCTTGAGAGGATGAATTAGCTATTATGATATGATGGAGATAATGAGAGATACTGGGAAATAGTGAGATATAATGGGAGATAGTTGAGACGCTCCTTTGTTGAGGAGATGGAAGTATAAATAATCATGAGTGACCTTTAACCTAACCTAAGCTAACCTAACCTTTCATCATTACTCTCTCACCCTCCCCCACCTCCCCACCTCCTCTACCTCACACTCCCTCCCCACCTACCCCACCCTCTCACCTCCCTCTACCTCCTTCCCCACCTCACTCTACCTCCCCACCTCCCCTCACTCTCCCTTCTACCTCTCACTCTCCCTTCTACCTCTCACTCTCCCTTCTACCTCTCACTCTCCCTTCTACCTCTCACTCTCCCTTCTACCTCTCACTCTCCCTTCTACCTCTCACTCTCCCTTCTACCTCTCACTCTGGTTATCTCTCCTGTGTTCACGATAGGAAAGACAGAGAAGGTCCCTTATCATGTTATCAAGTCATGTTATATACCTACATGATATAAATAAATAACTACATGATATACCGTATAAATTAACACCTATAGGTAGTTATAGTGGGATATTATATAATGTCTGGTGCATTATCCAAGCATTAACTTTTATATAATTTTTGGGGCCTTAATAAAAATGTTTGTATGGAAATGTGTTTTTTTTTCGGATTATTTGTTTGTTTTTTGTGGAGGGGGGTGGGATGTTTTTTTGGTCGGATACTTTTTTGGTCGGATACTTTTTTGGCCGGATACTTTTTTTAGTTGGGTACTTTTTTAGTCGGATACTTTTTTGGTCGGATACTTTTTTGGTCGGATACTTTTTTGGTCGGATACTTTTTTATTTGGGTACTTTTTTAGTCGGATACTTTTTTGGTCGGATACTTTTTTGGTCGGATACTGTTTTGGTCGGATACTTTTTTGGTCGGATACTTTTTTGGTCGGATACTTTTTGGGTTGGATATTTTTTTATCGGATATTTTTTGGTCGGATAATTTGTTTTAGGGTAGGAATACATTTAATCGGGTGAGTTATATTTGCGGTCGATTTTTCCCCTCTGTTATCCTTACCATTGTTTTCCCCCCTCTAACACCCGCTCAGCTTCCCTCACTTTCCCCTCTCTCTCCCCCACCTGTCCTCTATCTCACACAGAGGGAACAGGTAAAAGTAATTAAGCCTCAGCCGTGTTCCCTAGTCCACCTGTTATACTCTACACTAATTTTAAACAGTTATCTGCCTTGAGGGGGACGGATCCTTTCATGTGTGTGTGTGTGTGTATGTGTGGGTGTGTGTGTGTGTGGCCAAGTTTCACTCTATAACGATTTTTAACTCCTATTTCTTAGCATATGAATATCTATACATTTATGCATGTATACGTCAATTTACGGATCTATATATATATATACAAACATTTATACATAATATTCATACATAAATCATTCATAAAGAAATGTGGTCTGTAGGTGTACACAAAACACAGGGATTAAACTCACTTCTCTGAGAGTTTTCCTTTTGTATTTTAGCCAACAGGAAAAATCTCTCTCTCTCTCTCTCTTACTGTGGTCGAGTCTCTTGGGGTCAAATAATTCATGAGTTAATTTGGTTTAATTTCTCAGTATTTAATAGTGTATTGTTTTCGTCATTATACCTTATTATAAATCAATTAATAGATTACCTGGAATGTTGTATTGATATTAAATGATTCATATTCTAGATTTTTTCTTCTAAATTTTCAATATTATAGACCAAACATCTTTACCCTGACTTAGTGTTTTTCTCTGCTAGTGTTCGCTGTTAACAAGCTATATCAACGTCCATAATACATAGATCATTATTAACAACTCACTAATACCTGTTTCATCATCCGCTACTAACACTCACTCGTTATAATGCATCAAAACATAACCTAACCTAACCTAACCTAACCTAACCTAACCTAACCTAACCTAATGCCTGTTTCACCATCCT